CTTCCTCCTCCTCCTCCTCCTCCTCCTCCTCTTCCTCTTTCATTTTCATCACTGGATATTGGGCGCCAACTTTCACACCTATATTCAAAACATCAGCCACAAATTTCTCATTCAGAAATTGGTCTGAGAATAGAGGCCAAGTGAGCATTGGCAAGCCAGCAGCTACGCCCTCAAGGACTGAGTTCCAACCACAATGAGTAAGGAATCCCCCAATGGCAGGGTGTGATAATATCAATAGCTGTGGAGCCCAATCTGTTATGATGACCCCTCTTCCTTTCATTCTCTCTTCAAAACCCTCTTCTTCAATCCATTTTTCCAGTTTGTTTGAGGCCCTCACCACCCATATGAATGCCTTCTTTGATGCTTCTAACCCCAACCCTAGCTCTATTAGTTGTGGGGTTTTTAAGTTGTGCAGGCTCCCAAGACAAACATACAGCACTGAGTTTGGATGTTGCGAGTCCAGCCATATCATGACTTCATCATTTCTGCTGTCCTTTGAAGTAACGCTACCCCTTTCAGCTTTGTCCTCATAGCGTCTATTGCACAAAGAAACAGGCCCAATACACCAAACTCTATCCCCTCTCATTTTCTTCAACTCACGTACATAACAACCCTCAAGTTCCTCAAAGCTATTCACAACCATCCCATAAGCCTTCCTCTCAGCCTCTCCAATAAGCTGAATGAATTTCATCATCCCATCACTCATAAATCCAATGGGCAACTGAGCCTTGCTGACCTCTATTCTATGCTCCAACCCGGGGACTTCAAAATACTCCCCATCGGACGCAACCGTCTCGCAAATCCCCGACCCCAGAATCTTGGACATGGCGACATTGCCAAAACAGGAGCCTCCGTTGAAGGACAGCCAAGGGACCCCAATATGGGAAGCTATGTGGAGGGTCCATGGGAGGCAGATGTCTGAGATAATGCAGGTGGGTTTTGGGGAGAGGGCTTTGCAGAGGGCGAGGGCTTGGGGTTGGAGGTCGTGAGCCAGAGAGGACAAGAAAGAGAGGGAGTGGTTGAAGGAGGGAAGGTGGTCCATGTGCTGGTAGGCGTTACATAGTTGGAGGAGGGTGAGACGGATTCGGGGATGAGATAGTAGGGAATTCTTGAGGCGAGTGGCGTTGTGGGGAGTGGTCAAAATGGTGACATGAACAAAGGGAGAGGCTTGGGATAAGAGCTTGGCGATGTCTACCATGGGAATGGTGTGGCCTCTTGCCATTAAAGGGAACAACACGAAGTGAACAACCTCGCTATTGTTCGAGGAGTTTGAGGAAGCCATCGGATGGGGTGTGTTGGAGAAGAGGTGTTTGGCGGCGGCGGCCGTAGCGGCTGAGATAAAGAAAGGATTTGGTGGCTTCAAGATTGTTTTGATCTTTGTGTTTGTGTTTGGAGATTTGTTGCATGGAGATAGGATATGATATGATATGTAGCGTTTTTTAATTTACATTTATAATTTCCTTCTATATATATATTCATTAACTAGATATTTATTTATATCTATGTGTAAAATCTAGAACGAATATAATCTCCTTCTTCATATTCCTTGAAATTTTTGCTATTTTTACTTTTTTTTTTTTTTTAATAAACCAGCTAGGTTAAATAACAAATTTAACCCAAGGTGTGTTAAAATAGATTTTGAGCTTCAATTTTTTTAATTAAATTTTCATTTATGGGCTTTTGAGTTTATTTTAGAATAAATCTTAATAATTATCCCATGTTTTTAATAAAATTATATAAACTTTTAATTATAAACATTTAGCCTAACTTATATTTCAAAAATCAAATGTTGTATATGGTTTAGATACATTTATAAATCTTATACCTTTGTAATAATTTATTAATAAAATAATAAAAACAATTAAAAAATGTATTACAATAGAATACTTACTAAATTGTTATTAATTATAGTTTATTTATTAATAATTATTATTATAATTTATGTTTAAAGATACATCTAATAGAAAAAAGAAAATAGAGTTAAAAATAATAAATAATAAAAAATCATAAAAATAATCGAGAAAAATAAATAAGTGGAAGCAAAAAAAAAAAAACAAAACAAAAGGAACAAAAATAAAAAATAAAAAATAATAAAAAAGTAAAAGAAGAGAAAAGATGGGTTTTAAAAACCCATCAATATTTTTTTATTTTTTTTAATGCCTGGAAAAGAATATTTCGAGCACTAAGTTAGATTCCCTTCCCAATCTTTTATTAGACACAAAATTAAAAGTTTACAAGTTAGAAGAGGAAAGATCCGAACATAAAAGCAGTAGCTAAAGTTGTTCTAATTCTGACTATAAAACATTGAAGCATTGAAAGTAAAGAACTGAGTTATGAATATGCATAAATTTCATGGACATACAATGATGTTTAATGATGTTGAGAAACAAACATGTAGACTCCCATACACATTGAATCCCAATCCAAAAATTGTAAAATTCTAAATTGTAAATGAAAAAGAGGGTGGTGTTGCCCTGTTCATAGCTTCCAGAATCCCAACATCACACCACAAAAGCGCATCCATAGATTCAGAGGAAAGTTTTGGAAAAAACATGCCAAAGGATGTTAGTTGCCCTTTCAATTTCCCACCTCTCACCTCCTGACCAGCGGAGGCAACCAAATATGCAGCAGCAGAGGCTCCACCAAGGAAACCCATCAGCAACCCAACCACACCGGCTTCCTTCTCCACCCACCACCGCCACCGCCATCCGGGGCGGTGGGGTTGGTGCAACTTTGAGAGGGACTGATCATCAAAGTTGGGTTGGGTTGGGTTTTATATAGGATGTGGTTTGTTTATTAATGCAATAAAAAGGTTGAAATGACCTAAGAAGGGAGTTTGTGGTGGCTTTTTGTTAAAGACAACATGAATAGAAAAAGCAGAAAGCGACTGAAAAGGAAGCAATTTTCAGCATCTTCCATGGGATATGCCTTTGGCATTGGCATCTCCTCTTCCCCGCAACATCGCAGATGCCATACCAACTCATCTCCATTCAACCTAAGTTGCATCTCACTGTACTAGATCTTCATTCCTTTTCATTTTTAAATCTTAGATCAAACTTTATGTGGCCTGAGCCTTCTAAATTTGCTTAATTTGGGGCCAAACAAACAAACAATCTTGATCATCTAACAGGAGAGCCCATTTCAAAAGTTGATTTTTAAAAATGGGTGGCCTTACTTTCCCTTTTGTTTTACCTTTCTTTTCCTATTTGTCCTTTAAACACGTGCCTGTATTCATCCCTACCCATCCTTTACTCTCATGTTCACATGTACCCAACAAAAATTCAGGCCACTTATACTTTTTTCTGTTTGCTAATATTTTGGAAATGTTTAAGATTTGGCATACTTTATCCAATATAGCAATCTTTGTAATGGTCCAAGCCCACCGCTAACAGATATTGTCCTCTTTGGGTTTCCACTTTTGGGCTTCCCCTCAGAGTGCGTCTAATAGGAAGAGGTTTCCACACCCGTATAAAAAAATGTTTCGTTCTCCTCCCCAATTGATGATCTCACAATCTTGTTCGTGTGAAATAGACTCTTTAATGTTTAAGATTTGGCATACTTTATCCAATATAGCAACCTTAGTAATTGGATGGCCAAATTCAGAAACTGGAGCAAAGAATTTCTAGGAAACTAATATACAGGAAGGAGAGGAAATGGTGATCCCAGATTACTTTACAGCCAGGGAAGGATGGATGGGCACCATCTGAAGAGGAGTGGGGAGAGAACATCAGACAAATTACTTCTGTAAAAGCTAAAAAAAATGGTGGTTTTTATTTTCTGTCAGCCTAAGTAAGAGAGTGTCTAATGCTCGTTCCACCATTTGAGCATGTTAGCATGTGCATTGGCGCTTGCCTTAAAGAGTATGACTAACCTATGGTCAAGTTTCTCGCACCAAACATGGCTATGAGCGCCTGGTAAGTGTCTACTGTACTATTTAAAACAACCAACAGGGTAGTCTCCACACACAAATAGAATATGTACCCGAAATCTGTATCGTTTTCATTAGGGACAGGACCTTCCAAGTCAAATAATTCTGGAATAAACTCCTCTGCTTCATCCCAAACCTTGAAACATAAGTGGGAGTTACAACAATGTGCAAAACACTTCACAAAGCAAGAACATGTTCGAATATATTTCCAAACTGGCAACAAAAGAATACTTGAGAATGATTGAGACAAATAAATGATTTTCACTTCAACTTTAGTAAGGATGTAAGTATTCTTTCTGTATTCAGTTCTTGATTGATTTTGCAAAATGTTGGTAATGAATGGAAAACTTTAAAGCTATCAAGAACACACCTCTTGTGTACTGGCCAGCAAAAATCAAAGGAAGCTTGGATCAGCGTCATCCACATGTTCCTCCTCAGTTTCCACAATTTCTTTGCAATTTGCAATGAGTTCTTCAACACTTCTCCTGATCACCGTAAATTAATAGTTACTAAGAATGCAATACACGATGATAAATTTTCAATTTGTCTTTGCTCATCAACAGAACAGTTAGCAAAAGAAAAAAGATTACCGTCCAAAGAGGGCCTTCTGCAATCGCGAAACCCGACCCAGACACGAACTCGGAGACATCAGAAACAAGCCCTTTAGCGTGAGTCCCATAATTGCTGAGAACGTGGTTAGCAATGGCGGGGTCACTAACCACGACAAAATTTCTAGGGCCAGCGGCGAGCCTGTAAATGGGTCCATAGTCATTCATCCAATTGAAGAGGGAAAGAAAAAGAGCAGCGCCGAGAAGATCAGTAATGAAGCGAGTCGGAGAGGTGAGGCAATCAGGGCTGACCCAAGAACCGGATTTTGCACCACTGTTCGTGGGCGTGGGGGGGTCCCCTTCGGCAATGGAAGGTGATTTAATGGAGGGATATGGAGATGGGATTCTTCTAGTTTAGGGAATGTTGGGCCTAAAAATTAGCATCGGCGGTGTCTACAGAAAACCCAATTTGTTTCTATCTCGATCCTTCTTCTTTTGATTGAAGTTACATGGAAGTGAATTGGTTTACTGCAAAATTTGTAATGAAATTGGGTAATCCTCAAAGGGAATTCAATGAGCAGATCGTTCTTGTGCCTGTATATTCCATCTGTTCTAATGTAGGCATCCTTTTCTTCGACCTCGTTCTTCAGCTCAGCTGCCACCCATTAAAGGGTCTGCTATGAGGTCAGAGCTGTACGTTTACAAATTTAATTCTGATCTTTCATAAGCCTTGTGCTCCTATACAAATGGGTTTCACCATATTTTTGTTTCTTTTTTTTTCCATTTTTTCGCTTAAATTCTTGTGGCCATAGTTTTTTTTTTTTTTTTTTTTTTTTAAATAAAATAGGTATTATTTAGTTTGTTTCTAGCTGATTTTGTTGTATTGTTTGGTCCATAAACTAACGGGATAAAACATATACTATCTACTCCGTTGTGGAGTTGTGATGTTACAAATAATATCAGACATCTGCTTCTGTGCCAATGAACAACTTCATGGAGTGGATTGTGAGATGTCACATTAGTTGAAAAGTAAACTACGTAAGAATGTGAAAATCTCTCGAGTAGATTTATTTTAAAATCTTGAGATTGATTGGTAATGAGCTAGAGCACACTGTCAGGTAGTAGCGGTGGGCTTATTCCGTTAAAAATTTATTGTTTGTATTGAAATAATGAGTTGAACTGAAAAATTCTAAAAAAATACATGTTTGTTCACGATACAACCATATATTTTATTTAATTTCATAATTTTTTTTTTTTGTTATTTATTCTCTGACCCCTAAAAATTATTTTTAAGGTAATTTTGAAAAAATATATAATATTCAAATTGAATTATAAATCTTAATTAAGGTTTGAAAATAATAAATAGAAGTTAAAGTTTTAGTTTTATTAAAAAAAATTGAATAAAGTACTTCACCTAAGAATGTACGATCGAACCCGTTCTTTAATTTGAAAAAAAAATGACAATTCGAACCAATCCAACCTAAAGATTGATTGTTGGATTCCGTGGGTTCATTTTGTAACAAAGATTGTTTGAGTTAAAAAAAAATGACATCAAGAACAATTAGGTTAGACCTAAAAAAATATTTAATCCCGACCCAACCCAACGTACTAACACTTTTGCAACTCATCAACTTAAATTTTTGAATTGTAGAATCAATGGTGTAGATTGTTTCAAAATTTTGCAGAATCTAATCAATGGTGTAGATTGATTCAAAATTTTGCAGAATCAATGATTAGATTGAAGATGAATGAGTCATCAATCAATCTTGTGGTACTCGAGAAGAGTTCCTCCGTTCCATTCAATAATGTTAGATTAACTGTTTAGTCAATTATTATTAATTGTGACGCTTTTATCGATATCTTGATAATTTTTTGTAGAGATATAGACGTGACAAGCTTTTTCATTGTAGTTAATGAAAAAAAAAATCATCCCCAATTTTAATTTTTTTTTAAAATAATTAAAAAATATATTAAAAACTAACTAAATTCAGACTACTATTTATAAGCAGTAATTAGTAAAAAATCAACAATTTCATTAGTAAATACTTTAATTTATTAACTGAAATTATAAAAGACATTGAAATTTCTCACGTTGTCAAATGATTTTTGAAAAATATAGAAATATATATTTCTTATAAAAAAAAAATGGAAAATGCTGGATGCAAAAAAGGACAAAAGAAAAAAAAACAATAACGCACTGTGTTTGTGACACGTGTTTGGATCGTATGAATAATTGAGGGAAGTGCTGCATGCTTCCGCGCCCACCTCGTTATTGTACCGACTCTTATTTTATTCTTAATTGTTTTTTGTCTTTATTAAAATTTAAAAAATAATTATACTTCAATAATCTTTTTTTTTATTCGTGGATGTGAAAACAAAATAGTTCAAGAAACGTGGAGAGAGAATTGAAACTTTTAAATAGTCTAAAATCATTTACCTTCATCATTTCAAATTTGTCTTCTTATTATTTTTTTTTCTCTCCATTATAATTTCTTTTAGTATTACCGAATTTATTGTGATATTTTATATTATTTTAATAAATTTTTATTTAAAAATAAAAATTGTCTATTAAAAAAAAGCTCATTTGAATAAATTTTTAATTTTTTTTTTCTCGAGATAGGATATAATATAAAAAAAAATTCCTAAGAACCGATCACCAATAATGAACATAAATAATTAAAGAGAAATTGAGTTGATAAACAAAAAAATAATTTTGAATGTGAAATCACGAGATAGAATAGTGCTTTTCATATAAACACAAGCTTCCAAAATATCTATGGTAAATTATCACTCTCTCCACGTGTCAATAATTACCAACTTGTTGATAACGACGACGTTTTATTTGGGATCAATTCTAGAGATCCAAATTCATATAACTTTTAAAATATTTGTACATTCTTTAAACAAATTTAATTATTTCATAACCATTTTTTAATGTAATAATAATAATAATAATAATTTAAAGTTAAATTATTATAGTTTTTGAGGTGATACATGTATATTTTGTAACCTTCCTTGAAGGTTGTGCGAAAATTATTTAAACTAAAAAAAAAAGTAACAGAATAAAATATTTTGAAAAATTCTTTTATCGAAGAAGACTTAGCCTCTTACTTAATATAAAAACTTGCACAGCTATCACATGCTCTATATTTTTGTTATCATCCTTATCTCAATCGAACCATAATAATTTAAAAATATATATTTATATTATCTTTTTTTGTTGAAGCATGTTACGAGTATTAAAATAAGATTTAAGATAGATAATCCTCATATAATATTTTTGTTTCATCGAGATAATTGATAGATGGCATGACATGCAAAAAAAAAAAAAAAAATTAATATTTTTAATAAATTTAGTAATAATCCGATTAAATATATATATATATATATATTTTTTTTTTTTTTTTTTTTTT